ATCCCTGGCCCTCCTTGTTTTTGCTAACTTCTGCCCACCATGAACTGTTGCCCCTGTGCCATGTGTCACCCTGCCTTGGAGCCAGCTGATTATAGCCTAAAACTTCTACAAACTGAAAGCTGGATAAATCTTCCTTTAACTTGGGATGTTGGGTATTTTATTTCAACATAAGAGAAAAGTAAGACAGCAACTAAAGACACTTAGGAAAGAGGACTTCCAGAGCTGCTTTTGAAAGTGGCAAGAATAGTGATATAAACGTGTTTGAAGTGAGAGGGAGTATTTTGAAGGTGATTAATGGCACTGTGTCTTTAGCTGTAAAAATTTTTAAAAATGTAAATATTTATTGTAGTTTGTGATCAAATATTGTAGAACAAGTAGCTATCCAAGCTATGCATCACATAATAAAGATTGGTAGGAGAAGACTAGGTTCCAGCAATTTCTCTAATTTGTTGGTAGTCATCATCTTTCTAAAAATGGATTATTCATGGTTTAAGAATATAAATGAGTACTGTAAATACAAAGAAACTAGAATGAAAATTGTGCTTTGTTAATTCTTAAAAGAATCATTGAGGGTACTTTGATAAATGCATTTAAGTTTTAAGCACACTTTGAGTTGCCTTCTAAATATCCATGCAAAGGGTAAAATTCATTTTGATTTGATCAGCACACCCTTTATACATGTAGAGAAAATCACACTGTACCTCATAATATATATAATTATTACATGCTAATCAGAATTTTAAAAATAACTAAAGAGACAAAAAAGCTATTCTGATGTGATCATTACATGTCCTAATATTCTTCCCCATAAAATATATAATTAAAATTATCATTAAAAGTAGATATTCTTGTTGTAATCATGGAGTTTTATATCTGTTTAGTCACTGCAGAGGGAAGAGACTCTGTTTTATTCTCAGTATTAGCACTAAAATAACCTGGATTATGTTAGGTACTGAATCTGCCTTGTGAAGGAATAAATAAAATACTTTGGTTAAAGGTGGAAGAGAAGTGAAGATGTTCTTCAAAAGTTTATGAAACACATGCAAGTAATCAAAGGAAGGTAAATTTGTCAGTTTGGTAGGAGTAGTGTGGGGATGAGGGTTGAGCTCATAGATATTTAATTTTTTTAAACTTTGGAGTTGTTTATAGTTCACTTTGAATTAGATTTTATCAGGCAATCCATGAAAGAACTATTACACCAGTCCTTTCATGGAAACAAGACACATGTGAAGAAGCACTCCACAAAGTAGGATGAACTCTCAGGAAGCTTCATGCTCTGGGGGGCATAGAATCCCCATGTGGGGCTTTCTAATGAAGACATTTCAGGCAGCCTGAGACTTGGCTCCTGATATATGCTGCTGTCGGTGAGCAGAACGCCTCCACAGCTCCCCAGGCTCCTTCCTGGAAATAAAAGCAAGGAAAAACACATCCTTAGAGTTTGTAAGTAGAATTCCTGGGTGACGTTAGGCTTCAGGCATACTGTTTTTTAAGAGTGGGGAAGATTTCATTACCTACAACATGTTACGTGATCATCCAAGGAAAACCGTGGAAGGCTTTACTCTAAAATCTGAAATTTGGGGGCATTCTATTCTGAGGGGGGTGTACTTGTCCATGGACCATTTATCTTGCTTCTGAGAGCAGGTCAACATACCCATGAAATTTCAGGATGCTGGTTAAATGGGCTCCACTTCAAAACTAACACCTATCGTTAGCTGCCACTACCACCACCAGCCATTACTTCTATCATCTTCTTTATTTATCATTCTCAAATGCTTCTCATGGTCTGTGTACTCGTCAGCACAGGGGGTGCTTTACAAATGCACTCATTTACTCTTTACATTTCATTGCTGAGCTGATTTCAAAGAAGTTCACCCATGTAAAAATCTCATTTGGAGATCTCTGTCTAGTTGGTGGAACATCGAACAGTTAACGCTGAAGCTCAGGTTTGCCTCACCCTACAACTTCATTACCAACTCTGTAACTAGAAAAGAGAGTTAATGTAGTTGAACACAGAATCTGAAGCTCTCTCTTACAGAAGTGATGAGATATCTTCTATATGAAGAATTACTATCAACACATGAAGAACATACAAAATTTTTCTTTTAATAATAAGACAAAGTTGGAAACTGGATAAAGAAGATGTGTTTTTTCCACAGAATGGAATATCATTCTGAATGAGAAATTAGATTCATTCATAGGAAATGGATACATATTGAGGATATACTCCTGAGAGAAATAAATAAGTCACACATGTGTAAATACTGAATAGTTTCTCTCATGTGAAAAACTATAATAGTATATAAGATGCTAATGATATAATTGACAATGTGAACTAGGAAGAAAAGGGCTAAAGGTGTAGGGAAAGTGGGAAGGGTAGGGAAAAGGGAATAAGGCAAAGAAAAAAAAACATGAGAAAATGAAAAAATGGAAATAAAGTGTTTGTAAACAGGGAGGGGAGGAGGGGTGAAGGGAGGGAAAGGACTAGGGGAAAAACGAGAACCAAGACCTGTCATGTAAAGGTACAAGATCCCAATAATGAATGTAACTGTACTGTATCCCTAAAATGTACCAATAAACTGAATGAGGAAAAAAAAATAAGACGCCTTCCTTCAAAAATTCCACATGTCATACATATGTATATGTATGCACACAGACATACATGCTCAATACTCAATTTGTGGGAATGAGTCTGACTTCAGTGAGATTCTTTCAAAACTTACGTTTGTAATTTTAGGGCATACAGTGTGGTTCAGACAAAAGTGTTATGTGTTGAGATCCCTAGATATGTTCAAAATCTTTGGTCAGTTTATAGTTCTTGGATTGAATTAATATCAGTGAGTATATTTTGATTGCTCACATTTTTTAGAATATAGTATGTAGAATCAGAAATACAATAAAATGTTAGTAATATTACACTTGCCATTATCAAGCATAATTTACTTAGGAAGGCATTTTTTTCTCATTGAGTTTATTGGTACATTTTATGTATACAGTACAGTTACATTCATTATTGGGATCTTATACCTTTACATGACAGGTCTTGGTTCTCATTTTTCCCCTTATCCCTGCCCTCCCTTCACCCCCTCCTCCCTTCCCTATTTACAAATACTTTATTTCCATTTTTTCATTTTCTCATTATTTTTTTCTTTTCCCTTATTACCTTCCCCTACCCTTCCCATTTCCCCTACAGGAAGTCATATTTTTAAATAACTCATAATAACCACTATTCTCCATGTAAAATTGGACAGAATATAACTCCAAAGTTAGGAAGAATATCATTTGATTTTATTTAATAGAGGTGATCCCACTAAATGTTTTGTAAAGTAGATAGATTCATATTAAGTGTGTAAATAGTTCAGTAGATCAAATAAAGAGTCTAAACAATTTATTAACATTCAAAGAAGAAGGAGCTATGTGAGCAAAACACATGTATATGAGAGAATGGCAAAGTAGGGAAAAATCCAGGACAATTATATTGAGATGGAATGAGGGGCCTGATACTCTCTAAAGGTAGTTTTAGTTTGCTACCGTCCCAGATGCCTTATAGCCAGGCTGCAACTGCATCAGGTGCCCCATAGCTACCTGAGAGATATTTGCTTTGGCTTCAGCAGGCTTCAGTCTTGAACTTATTACAGATGACTTCCCCCTTCAGCTCCATTATGGCTGGCTCCATTTAGCAGTCCCTCTGGATGACTCTGTAGGCCTCCTTGGTCATTTAGGATGGTTAGGGGGTTCTTTCCTATCTATGACCTTCTTGAATAAGCAACCTCCTTCCCATCCATGTGGGTCCATCTGTGCATGTTTTCTCCTAATGATGCAGGGTTGCAGTATAAGTTTTAACAAAGGCTTTTCCTTTATTAGATGATGTATTCTTGCTTACTGTTGATTCCTGTCATGAGTACTTCATGACAAGCTGGTATCATCAAGGGCCACTGGTGTGAGTGTGACCAGTGGCTGTAACTGGTAACACTGAAGATGGCTGGCAGTCAAGAGAGTGACAGAGAGCAAATAATTTCCAGGAGTGTTCATTTCCTATGAATGGAAGATTTCTTGAGGCCTTCCCATAGCTGCCTGCCCTAAGTGATAAAGAGGGTGCTATCCTCTAAAATAGAGGATGGTCACTTGCATTGAGCAAGAATACTCATCAGACCGGTGATATTTTAGAAAATGGTACAGGGACCTTTTCCTGTAAGGACCTTGAAGATAGGGGTGAAGAAAGATGGTCATCAGTAGGTGCAAGAATCAGCTTATGTTTTATTTTCATCTTGCATACAGTTAAGAATCCATGATATCTAGTGAGAAAATTAGACAGCTCTGGTGGTAAGGAAGTGAGTAGGTCACAGTAAAAGCAGATATTGGCCAAATTGGAAGGGTCCTTGAATAACATGTTAAAGAACTACAGAATTTGATTTCATACTGAAGGCAGTGAAGAACTTTGAGGAGTAGCGGGATGATGTATTTTCTAAAGGTCCCACTAACACTGTTACAGAGAAGGTCTGGAAACCTTTGAACCACAGTCCAGGGAAATTATGTGAATATTTTAATATTAAATATTGTAAAGTAGTGATGATGAAACTAGAGGGTATGCATGGTTAAGCAAGGGACAGAATTCAAACCTATGAAAGTGTAGGGATTAGATGGCCTTGACTGTTGCAGTAGGGAGAATTCTCAAAGTGCCCCAAAAGTTTCTATTTATATTGATGCATTTGTTGTGCATGATTCCACCCATTAGTATTAATGGATCTTGTGAATGTGATAGAATATTGCTTACATGATTATATTAAATTATATGGCAAAAGGGTTTGGTAATTATATAGCAGGTTCCCATTTAATTGATTCTGAGCTAATCTAAAGGAAGATTGCCTTGAGTGAGTCTTACCTAATTTTGATGGTCAGTTAGAAGTGTTTACATAGTAAAATAATTAATTTCACTTTGAATGATTAATAAACAAATGCAGTTTATTTTTGCAGGAAACTCAGCTTAAGATTTTGAGCTCAATATGTCAGCTTTCCAGAACGTCACATCCTCTCCCGTCATCTTCCTGCTAACTGGTGTTCCTGGGCTGGAAGCCTTCCACACCTGGATCTCCTTTCCTTTCTGCCTTCTCTATGCAACCGCCCTGTCAGGAAACAGCCTGATTCTCTTCGTCGTTATCACTCAGCCCAGTCTCCACGAGCCCATGTATTATTTCCTCTCCCTGCTGTCCACCACTGACCTCGGGCTGTCCATATCCACACTGGCCACCATGTTGGGTATATTCTGGTTCAATGCCAGGGAGATCAGCTTCAATGCCTGCCTGTCCCAGATGTTCTTCATTCAACTGTTCACTGTCATGGAATCCTCTGTGCTGTTGGCTATGGCTTTTGATCGCTTTGTGGCCATCTCTGATCCCCTTAGGTATTCTTCTGTTTTAACGGACATTAAAATAGCACAGATTTTTATAGCAATCATTACCAGGGGGACACTGATACAGATTCCTTTGGTGATACTTCTTAAAAGATTGTCGTATTGCCGCAGCCACGTGCTGCACCACTCTTACTGCTTCCATCCTGACGTGTTAAAGCTCTCATGCACAGACACCAGGATCAACAGTGCAGTTGGGCTGACTGCTCTCATCACCACTGCTGGGGTGGACTCCATTTTCATTGTCCTTTCCTATGTTTTGATCATTAGGACTGTCCTCAGCATTGCCTCCCCAGAGGAGAGGAGGAAGGCCTTCAGCACATGTGTCTCCCATATTGGGGCGGTGGCTGTATTCTACATTCCACTGATCAGTCTGTCCTTTCTTCATAGATTTGGAAAGCAAGCCCCACCCTATCTGCATACCATGATTGCTAACACTTACCTGCTGATCCCTCCTGTAATGAACCCCATCATCTACAGTGTGAAGACCAAGCAGATACGCACGGCTATGCTGAAAGTTCTCCATTCCAGCATGACGAAGACCTAGAAATTTCTTTCCATTTTTTCTCTTCTCTGTCCTTGTGAGTGTGAGGATCATGCCATTCAGAGAGTTTTAAATGTTTAGAGCGATGCTTGTTTTCAAAATTTTCAAAGATAACTATAGTTTTAAACAGGGAGACTATGAGTTAAAAGAGACTGATGCAAATAGGAGTCTTTTAAAGCTATTATTATATTCCTAAAATAGTCGCAATGATAGTATTTCTTCCTTTACAATGAAAGATTTTTCAGTGATTTACATAACTAATGACCCAGCTTTGTTTTCAAATGAGAATCGCTTGTGTTTTCTTTTTAAAGTGAAACAAGTTAAGTGTCTCATTATTGATTTATATTTCTTCTTTACTAAGAGAAAAAAATGACTCCTTGTCACAAATGGGAAGAAAATGTGTACTAAAATTCCAAATTACTGAAACTTATGATATAAATTGACCATAGACAAGAGTCGTTGCTCATGTTACTTAGTTGTTTGAGATATTTATACTTTCCCTCTTTGCCTCTGGGCTTCCCTGACCCCTTCATCCAACAGATAGAATCATCCTTTTTTGTTCACCATTAAGTTTATTGGTACATTTAAAGCAAACAATACAGATACATTTATCATTGGGATCTTGTACCTTTACATGAAATGTCTTGGTTCTTATTTTTTCCTCATACTCCTGCCCTCCCTTCGCCCCCTTCACCCTTCCCTACTTACAAAGACTTGGCTTCCATTTTTTCCTTTTTTCATATTTCCTTTTTCCTTTCCTTCCAGCTTCCCCTTTGGCCATTTTCTTCCTGTTTCATACTATCAATTATACCATTTGAACCTCATTTACACTTTTAGATTTTCACACCAAAGAAACTATTTTGCATTTAAACAAGTGTGTCCTATTTATTTCACTTAAGAGTTTAGCCTAAATGTGCATCCACTTAAATATAAATGACTCCAGTTTCTCCTTCTGTATGGCTGAGTAGTACTCCTTTTTATAGAAAAACCACATCTTCTTTATCCAGACTCCAGTTAAAGGACCTTTGGGCTGTTTCCAATTTTTAGCTATTAAAATCTGTGCGGCTATAAACATGGGTGCAAATATATCACTGTAGTATGATTCTTTTAATTCTTTTGGAAAGATACCCAGCAGAGGGATAGCTGGATCAAATGGTACCTCTAATCCTAGTTGTTTGAGGTATCTCCATATTGATTTCCATAGTGGTTGCACCAGTCTGCATTCCCACCAATAAGGAAGAAGTGTTCCTTTCTTCCCATAGTCCTGCCAGAATTTGTTATTAGTTGATTTCTTGATAGCAGCTATTCTTTCTGGGGTAAGTTGGAATCTCAGGTTTGTTTTCATCTGTATCTCTCAAATGACCAGTGAGGTTGAACATTTTTTCATATTTATTTATTTGCTGCTTTTACTCCTTTGCCTGGGAAATGTCTGTTTCAAATTTTTGAATCTGGTCTTTGTATTTGGAGGATCTGATTTATTTGAGTTCTTTATATATTCTAGATAGTAGTCCTTTGTCTGAAGAGTAGCTGGTAATTTTTTCCCCACAATGTATGTTGTCTCTTAGCTCTATTGGTGATTTCTCTTGCACTGCAAAAATTTTTAATACAATGAGATCCCAGTTGTTGATTTTTTGTGCAAGTTCTCATGCAGCTGCTGATTTCTTCATAAAGTCTTTTCCTATGCCAGTGTCTTCAAGAGTTCTACCTAATTTCCTTTCCAGTAAGTTTAGTGTTTCTGTTTTGATATCTAGATCTTTAGTCTACTTGGATTTTAGTTTAGTGCATGGTGAAAGATAGGGATCTAGTTTTAATCTTTGTCAAGTTGAAAGCCAGTTTTTCCAACACCATTTATTAAAGAGGCTATCTTTCCTCCAGTGAGGATGATTGGCTCCTCTGTCAAAGATGAGGTAGCTGACTATGTTTGGTGTTCCTTCTGCATATTTTAATCTATTCCATTGATCATCAGGTCTTTTTCTTTGCCAGTACCATGCTGTTTTTATCACAGTGGCTTTGTAGTATAGCTTCAAGTTGGCGATTGCTATACTCCCTGCCATGTCTCTGTTGCTAGACTGGTTTTTGCTATTCTTGATCTCTTAAGGTTCCAAATTAATTTTTGGATCGTTTTCTCAATTTATGTGTAATATGCTGTTGGGATTTCCATTGGGATTGAAATGAATCTATATAGTGGTGTTGGTAGTATGGCCATTTTCACTGTGTTGATTCTTCCTACCCGGGAGCAAGGGATGTCTGTCCATCTTCTTCTATCCTCTTTTATCTCTTTTTTCAGAGTGCTGTAGTTCTCAATGTAGAGGTCTTTTGCTTCCTTCATTCTTAGATATTTAATTTTTTGGATGTTTTTGTGAAAGGAATTGTTTTCCTAATTTCTCTCTCAGTGAGTCTGTTTTTTGTGAACAAGAAGGCTATTGATTTTTGAGTGTTGAACTTGCAACCAGCTCCTCTACTGAATCTGTCAATTAAGTCTAGAAATCTTTTGGCAGAGTTTTTTGGGCCTTCTATGTAGAGTATCATATCATCAGCAAATAGTGACAGTTTAACTTCTTCATTTCCTATCTTTATTGATTTTATTTCTTTCTCATCAAATTGCTGTGGCTAATGTCTCTAGAACTATGTTGAACAGGAGTGGTGATAGTGGACATCTTTGTCTTATTCCTGACTTTAATGTGAAGGTTTTCAGTTTTTGACCATTAAGTATAATGCTGGCTGTTGTTTTTTCATTGATATCCTTTATCAGGTTGAGTAAAAAACCATCTATTCCAATTTTCTGTAGGGTTTTCATCACCATTGGGCTTCAGATTTTGTTGAATGCTTTTCTGCATCAGTTGCGATGATCCTATGGTTTTTATCCTTTACTCTGCTAATACCATGTATTACATTTATTGATTTATGCATGTTGAACCATCCTTGTTTCCCTGGGATAAATCCAACTGAGCCAGTATCTTATTGAGCATTTTTGCATCTATGTTCATTAGGGAGATTGGCCTGTAGTCCTCTTTCCTGGTTGGGTCTTTCCCTGGTTTTGGAATCAAAGTAATGCTTGCTTCCAGGAATGAATTTGGATATATTTCTTCCCTTTAAATTTCATTAAGAGTTTAAAGAGTAGTGGCAATAGTTCTTCTCTAAATATTTTGTAGAATTCAGCAGTGAAGCCATCAGGGCCCAGGCTTTTCTTTCTTGGTAACATTTTTATTACAATTACAATTTCACTGAGTGTAATTTTGGTATTTAGACTTTTTATATCTCCTTCCTTCAAATTTGGTAATTCATATGTATCTAGGAATCTGTCAATTTATTCTATATTTTCCATTTTATTACAGTACAAGCTTATGAAGTAGGTATTCATGATCTTCTGTTGTGATTTCACCTTTTTCATTCCTAACTGCATGAACTTGAGCCTTTTCTTTCATTTTTTTGATAAGGTTGGCTAAGGGCTTATAGATTTTATTTATTCTTTTAGAAAACCAGCTCTCTGATTTATTGACTTTTTTTTATCATTCTCTTAGTCTCCATTCAATTGATTTCTGCTCTGATATTCATAATTTCCTCCTTTGTACAAGCTTTTGCTTTGTCTTGCTCTTCTTTTTTCTAGGAGCTTAAGGTTAAGTGTTAGGTTGTTTATTTGAGCTTGCTCTGTTGTCCTAGTATGGGCATTCACTGCTATGAATTTCCCTCGTAGAACTGCTTTTATTGTGTCCCACAGATTCCTATATGTTGTATTGGCATTATCATTAAATTGTAGAAACTGTCTAATTTCTTTAATCTCCTCTGTTATCCAATGGTTGTACAGCAGGGTGTTAATTTCCATGTGTTAGTGAAGTTCTTGGGGTTTCTTATGCTAAATCTCCAGTTTAATTATAATATGGCCTGAAAATATAAAGGGGATAACTTCAAATCTTTTCCATTTATGTACACATGTTCTATGAGCTAGCATGTGATTTATTTTGGAGAATGACCCATGTGCAGCCAAAAAGAATGTGTATTCTGATTTTTGTGGGGTGGAAAACTCTATAGACATATACTAAAGCCATTTGTTCAAAGACCTGCTTTAGTTCTGTTATTTTTTGTTGTTGTTGTTGTTGTTGATTTTTTTTGTCTGGTGGATCTATTTGTGTCAGTATAGTATTGAGGTCCCCACTACAATTATATTAGTGCTTATTTTGTTTTTCATATCCATTAATATTTGCTTTGTTTATTTGGGGGCATTAGTATTTGGTGCATATATATTTATGTTTGTCATTTCTTCCTCTTGTATTGTTCTCTTTACAAGATTTAGTGGTCTTCTTTGTCTCTTTTAATTAGTTTTGATGTGAAATCTTCTCTGCAAATAAAATAGCTTCCCACACTTTTTTCTGGGCTCCTGTCACTGGGAGAACTATTTCCCAACCATTTACTCTCAGTCTATGAATTTCTTTGTGGATTAAGCGGGTTTCTTGTATGTAGCATATTGTTGGATTTTGCTTCTTAATCCATTCTGCCAGCCTATTTCTTTTGATTGGTGAATGAAGGCCATTAACATTGATGTGTAGTGGATGTTTTCCACTGAGAATCTATAAAGAGACTGAGGGAGAAAAATCAGCCACACTTTTAAAAGAAACAGTCCATGCACAGTGTATGTCCATCAAGATCAGCTACATTATAAAAATCTATGTACATCACCTTTTACTTTCAAGTGGGTCATTTAGATGGGGATATTGCTCACTTGGCCAGTTTAATAGCATTTGCTAAAATGTTTGCTTACAGTCGTTAAACATTTATAAATAGTAAATATAAACATTTTATTATTTAAAAAGAATTTTTATGGGCACAATTGAAAAAAATCTTTTTCTAACTTCTGGCACAGAAACAGTCCTGACAATCTATTCTTTTTTTCTTTATTGGTAAATTTTAGGTACACAATGTAATTACATTCATCATTAGGATCTTGTACCTTTACATGATGTATCTTGGTTCTTATTTTTTCCCCATTTCCCTGGCCTCCCTTCACC